GGCCCAGGGGGGGCGCGACGGGGCCGAGGAGGCGCGACGGGGACCAGCGGGCACGACGGGGCCCAGGGGGCCGCGACGGGGCCTAACGGGCGCGACGGGGCCCAGGGGGGGCGCGACGGGGCCTAGCAGGCGCGACGGGGCCTAGGAAGCGCGAAGGGGCCCAGCGGGCGCGACGGGGCCTAGGAGGGGCGCGACGGGGCCGAACGGGCGCGACGGGGCCCAGAGGGGGGGGACGCGACGGGGCTTAGGAGGCGCGACGATGCCTAGGAGGCACGACGGGGCTCAGCGGGCTCGACGGGGCCCATGGGGGGCGCGACGGGGCCTAGGAGGCGCAACGGGGCCCAGCGGGGGCGCGTTAGGGCCTAGGGGTCGCGACGGGACCCAGCGGGCGCGACGGGGCCTAGGGGTAGCGCGACGGGGCCTAGGAGGCGCGACGGGGCCCAGCGGGCACGACGGGGCCCAGGGGGGGCGCGACGGGGCCTAACGAGCGCGACGGGGCCCAGGGGGGGGCGCGACGGGGCCTAGGGGGCGCGACGGGGCCTAGGAGGCGCGACGGGCGGAAGCGGTAGGCGGGGGGATCCTAACCTAAGCGTGATACCATGTTAACGTAGAAACGAATAATTACTAGAGGTGGAAACCTAGAACAAATACTAGTTGGTTGTACTCACTAGAAGCATACCTCAGTCTAGCCTATAACTTCTACATAGATAATATGTATAAGTTGACACCTACACCTTCTCGTCGATCCTGGTTTACAGACGAGGTTGAATAGAATGCTATATGTTGAAGCGAGTGATCTAGCTGGGTTCGTGGCATGCGGCGTGAGAGAGCAGTAATTCTAACTGATCATGCAATCTTGAGAATGGAAACGGAAATTTGTCCAGTCGATGGATAATTGCCCGGCTCAACCGCCTCTCCCGTCCTCCCAAAAGGGCGTGTCCAAATAGTTCATTTCGGGTTCGGGACAAGATTTCACGAACCCCGGTACAGGTCCATGAAACGACTCCGAACTCGTAAACACCAGAAATTGTGTCCCCGTTCGCACGTAGCACACAACCGGGACGCCGATTGTCGAGATTTGAGAAAACCGAACGGCACGCAACCAGGCCTGACGTTTCAAAAAAACTCCCCCTGAGCTGTCGACTAAAAATAACATTTTACCCTGAGGGCTCTGTGTTCAAAATTTGCCTACCCTGATTTGTAAGTGTTCAGAAATCAAGAACCCTGAAAATCCCAGGGTTCACCGAACGCATTCAGGGTTGCCTTCAACACGAGGGGAAAATAAAAAATGGGGGGAAAAAGGGGAGGGAATCAAACCGATGGGAGGGGAAGAGCGAAACGGAGGGGAAGGGGGAGGATGGAAACATAGGGGAAGAGAGGAAGCGAAACGGGGAGGGAAAAAGTGGGGGGAGGGGGGGGGGTTCGAAATACAGTAGAGAGGAATGGGAGAAGCGAAACGGAGGGGAAGGGGGAATCGAAACAGAGGGGAAGGGGGAATCGAAACAGAGGGGAGAGGGGAAGCGAAACTGAGGGAGGTGGGGATCGAGGCGAATGGGGCAGTGACAGAAACCTCTCGCGCTTGCAGCGCCATGGGCAAATCGAGGACGTTAATCATACGCGATCATCTAACGGCTGAAATTTGTCGAAATGATCGCGATTGATCGTGGCCGTCAAAGTTTGATGGACTTTCAGTTGACCACATGGGCAATAAAAAAAACTTTCCTTAAGTAGGGAGCATTGTCGCTAGTACCCTTCTATGACTTGACCGTTAGCCTTTTTTATGGGTTGTGGGAGTGTGGGAGGGGGGATAACTTGTGTACAAGCCTTTTTTTTTTGTGCTGTCACTGCCTATCAAGACTTAGCTAATTTTTGTGGGTTATTGTTAGGTGTGTAGGGGGGATGTCTGTACGACACATGAGTTAGCCGATTTTTGTGGGTTGCTTGGTGTGTGAGGGAATGTTTGAGGACTTCACCAATTTTTGTAGGTTGTTGCGTGTGGGGGGGAATGTCTCTGGAGATTGGGGACTTCGCCTAAATTTCCGCATTGTGAGCCACATGGATGTCGCACTCAGGGTTCGTACGCGTTACTCCCTGAAAACTCAGTTTTGGGATAACGCAAACCCTGAAATTCTAAGTGTTCACAGACATACAACCCTGAAGAGGTTAGGGTTAAAAAAAGCCCAACCCTGACAATTAAGGGTTGGCCAAAAAATAACTTGTCAAATTAGGGAATCAGGGTAAAATACCCTGATAACGACAGCCCTGCGCGCAACGGCCCAAAACGCAGTTACCAAATGTATACCTGCGCGAAACATTTGTTTCGCATCGTGTAAAATACAACAGGCGGGGAAAATCACGAGCCACACGTGAGAGACACTCAACTCGCGGCGGATTCGGTCGCAGATGTGGTCTGGCGTCGCGCGCGCAGATGCGTTCGCGACGTCGCCTGATTTTCGCCACAACCAGCGGGGCGAAATCCAGGCGCGACACACTTGGAACCCCGTTCCCTAATCTTGCACCTCACGGCTTTTTTACGTTACCAATCTGAAATCTGGTATATGGCCCGACGCATGTGAAGGGAGTCCCACGTTACTTGTCAGTTTCTTTCGTGTCCTGGCGAAACCTTTAACAAGGTGCTACTTGTTAAAATCCGGTTACTATTCACGAAATGAATAGAGTATGAACACTTTGGACCCGCCCTAATGCCACTCGCCAATGCACACATTCACGCGACTCGAGGAACCATCTGGCATCGAACATTGGCCCATCTTTCCAGCCGAATCCATGGGTGGTGGTGGGACAGGGCGCACGGCCTTGTTCAGCAGCAAACCACAGCATACCACAGCGCTGCTGCCGCGCGATTTGACAGTCGCCCTCTCCGCAACTCCCGGCCTTTTCAGAGCCAGCCGTAGCAGCCACTCCGTATTCCAGTTAGGGGGGCCTATCTCCATCTCATTGAGCGCGCAATCAAGATCGTGAACATAAAAGGGGGTTTGCTGGGCTTGGGAAAAGCATCATTCGTTAGCAGTGTCTTCAACCAGCATGCACACCAGACTAGGGGAAACCAAGAATCGTCGTTCCGTGGAGAGCTTCATTCATCTTCACCACCTTCCGACGGTGAGTCCCAGTCCCAGTAGATGGGCTTCACACATCTTCACCGCCTAAGGTTCACCATCGTCACCACCGTCAAAGTCCCAGTAGATGAGGTTGCGACGAAGTGAGAGTGAAGTTGGGACAAAGATATCATAATAGCTTGTTTGCCTACGACGAAGCCATCGTGCGCAGGTGCTACATCACAAAAAAGGCTCATTTTGTTTTTGTGGCATGATCGCGAAGTTGGCTTCGAAAGTTGGATTGGCGGGATGGGGGCATGCAATTGTCGTCCAACCCCTCACGAAATCGTCTCGCGAGTGCTGTCAATTGGTTATCTTGTGCTTCGCGCCCATCTCGCCCAATTGAACGCGGCTCGGCTCGACGAATTCGGACTTGACCTTCACTCAATTCCGCTGAAATTTAGTCATGATAGAACATCTGTATTCTGGTTTCGTTTAGGTCAAAACGCATACCTAATTTCACGTTTAGGGTTGTGTGTATTACTTGCTAATACGAAAGTTAACAATTGTTTTTGTGTGTACAATTTATTCGCCCATTGGCTTTCTCATACAGTAACTTATTATTTAGAATGGCTTACTACATCAGCAAAAACTTCTTCATATGGAAAGCATTCTGTCTATGAAACGACTTCACCACATGGACGTGTCGCTTGATTGTGTCGCAGTCGATGACACAGTACTGCGAAGGTCCTGGTGTCCATGGTGTCCAGCGGAGGCGACGACATCCGGTCTTTGCATCCTCACCAGTCACAGTCCAATACCTTACATAAGCCAACTCATGGACGACCCCGTGCCTCTTGATCTGGAATAGCAACAGAAGTCATCCATACCACTCCGTCTCTCGCCCGTCACCTGTTAGTCCCTTAATTGCCACGTCAGAAAACCAGGGCTTGTCGTGGAACCTGGGGGTTGCTTTCACAAAGTGTGCGGTGCGTGCATACCCCTCTTCTTTTGCTGCTGGAATAGCGAGAGTGGTATGGGCCTGCAAGAATAAAGTGGCTACATAGTTAGTGATTGATTGAGGTTGAGGCAACCCTTGTACATGCTTCGTGGCCATGCTACTTACTCTGACTTTTGTTGGCGTGAAGCGCGCCGGATGCCGTGCGAGTGCATTTTGGAAGCGGCTATGTGCCTCGCTGTGTTGCTCTGTCCACATCCGTGCAAACCAGTTTCGTGGCCGGATCCACTGGGAAGTAGTAAGAATCCCTGGTCATGACTCTGATGCCTCCCTGAATCGCCTGCACGTGGGAAGCAGTCACGAATTAAGCCTGCACGAACAAGATGAGGCACACACTGGCTGCTACATTACCTTTTGCGTGGCTGTTTGTCGTGCATTCTCGTTCTGTGAATGAAGGTGAAGTCTAGACGCATTTCGTGGTGCTTCATTATTTGGACATCTACGTTTCGTTTGTTCGAGCGCCTATAAATATATTTTTTTGGAGCGGTCCATACAGGTGCTTGAAGACGTTGGTGCTGTACTCCTGCACATATCCTGCCCTACAAATCGAATCTATAAAGTGGGGCATAAGGTGGGTCTTGATGAGGTTCCAGGCCGAAACCTGCTCGGGAAATGCCGAGTTAAGAAGCTCCACAAGCCGGCAACGGTGGGGCCATCGTAATAAGAAACGTTCAGGGCACGACAGATATGAAACGACTGACTAAGCGGGGAGCACAAGGACCAGCAGGGGGCGATGAGCGAGATAGGAATAAGGCAGAGTAAGGATCGGGTGGTTGACAAAACATACCTCTCTGTTTTTTCCTGCAACGCATGCAGGGAGCGCTCGGTGTGAGATGGGGCGTAACAGGCTAGGTACCAGTCCAGGTACGCTCTGATTGCCTCCAGTTGAGGCGCGCTGAGCTTGTCGGCGACCAGGAAGATTAGCACCTGCAAAATGCGGCGGGGTGGTGGAATCGTGGGGAGCAAGGAAGTGGGGGGGGGGGGGGGGGGGGGGGGGGGGGGGGGGGGGGGGGGGGTGGAGAGGGGGTGTGGGGTGGTGCATGGCATGTTTGGTCTGTGGAGGCATTGTCTGTGGAGGCAATGAGGTGACTAACAAATGTAGTCGCGGTGGAGGTGACGCTCCCAATGATGGCCAAAAGGATGGGGCAGCATACAAGAATCAACACTGGCAGTGGTGAGGTCTGGACAGGGGGGGTTCATGAAGGGTGGGAGAGGTGCAGCAAAGATGGGGGAGGGGTAGAGATGCGTTGAGTAGGAGGGAACAAAGGAACGGGGCACCGGTGTGCACAAGGTGGGACGGTAGATGAGACATGGGTGGTGTGAAGTGGCAAGGGGGGACTTCGGAGTGGCGCACCCAAGTTGGGTGCATCACTGTAAAGTTAGCCAGTGTCATACCTGCATTACACCTCTGTGCTCGAAGGCAGCCGTCTGAGTGCCACCGCCAACAAAATAGGCGCTCAGTGGCAGCCTCAAACATGGAATGCGGGTGGCCACACGAACATCCTTTAGGCGACTGTCAGGGAGAGAGAGACATGCAGAGTATAGGGGTATAAACTTGGAAACGGGTGGGGCAGGACAGATGGTGCCGAGGACAGAAGGAGCACGAGAAAGATGGGGCTGCTGGGCCACTGTCTAACAGCCCATACAACGAATAGACACAAAAAGGAGAGGATACTGCAGTTATGGGATGCCGGCTTACTCGTCAATGGTTTTCAGCTCGCCTGGGACAATCTGCCGGATGCACTTTACAATATGGTCCAGCAGGCCCAGGTCCGCCTGGTGCATAATATCCGGCATGACAGCAAGGTACGGATTCCCCCATCTCTGGCCCTCAATGGTCCACCTCCAGAGGGCGCACTGCCAATAAACATTCCACACGGGGGTAGCATCACAAAGAAGTGTGAGGTACAAGAGAAGGTGTTCGCGACTCAACAGGGCATGGGCCACACGAGGAGGGGGGCGCTGAGTGAACTTGGTGTAAACAAACGACCAGCGCGCGCGCTGGTCTGGCTTCACAGCGCGGGGGGCTTAGTGGTTTGCCTACCTCAACGTCGAAGGTCGAAAACCGCTTCTGGATCGTATCCCCACGTCGAGCACCGACGGGGGGAGGTTGGGCACAAATCAGCTGTTGCATGCCTGGTGTCCGCATGATGAACTCCTTGTCAACAGCCGAGAGATCTTCCTGGATATGCAATCAGCATCCATATGATGGCAATGGGAGAGGCAAGACGAAGGGGGGGTGGGGGGGGAGAGGAAAAGGGAGAGGGAGAAGGAGAGAGAGAGAGAGAGAGAGAGAGAGAGAGAGAGAGAGAGAGAGAGAGAGAGAGAGAGAGAGAGAGAGAGAGAGAGAGAGAGAGAGAGAGAGAGAGAGAGAGAGAGATAGAGAGAGAGAGAGAGAGAGAGAAAGAGAGAGAGGGAGAGAGAGAGAGAGAGAGAGAGATAGAGAGAGAGAGAGAGAGAAAGAGAGAGAGAGAGAGAGAGAGAGAGAGAGAGAGAGAGAGAGAGAGAGAGAGAGAGAGAGAGAGAGAGAGAGAGAGAGAGAGAACGGCATGGGGGCAGCAGGGGGCAATGGGGAATGGCAGGCGGCGGGGCAGTGGGGGATTGCAGCATGTGGAGAGGATGGGGCCTGGCAGTGGGAGGCAATGGGGAATGGCAGTGGGAGGCAAAGGGGAATGGCAGTGGGAGGCAATGGGGAATGGCAGTTGGAGGCAAAGGCATGGGGGCAGCAAGGGGCAAAGGGGAATGGCAGTGGGAGGGAAAGGCATGGGGGCAGCAGGGGGCAAAGGGGAATGGCAGGCGGAGGGGCATTGGGGGATTGCAGCATGTGGAGAGGATGGGGCCTGGCAGTGGGAGGAAATGGGGAATGGCCGAGGGGGGAACAGGGATGGCAGAGTTGCAGCTAACTGAGGATCGCAATGAGGACCAATGGATGATGGCTTGGATGCATAGAGGAAGGGGCCCACCTTGTTCACATAGCACATGCTGCAGGGTTTGCTGCAACCCTGGCCGGACAATGTGCCAGTGACCTTCCCCGACTCCGGATAGTCGCATGCCCATGCATACAGCATCGGCTTAACTTTGTGCACCGCACCATACGAATCCTCCAGCAACACACCTCTGCTCCAGGCAGGAGATGCAACAGCCATAGTGTGAGGGGAGGGGTAAGCGTACACATGGAGAGGATGCAACACAGAGCATACACCTGCGGGCCAAGAGGACACCATGGGCGAATGCAAATACCGTGTGGAGAAAATGAGAGTGATACACAACTCAGGGGGTCACAATGGATGCAAATACCATGTGGTTACAGCACGAACATGAAGAGGGGTGTGGCACGTAAAATTTAGAGGAAACGGGGGAGAGGTAGGGGGGGTGGGGGAGGGGAGGGGACTAGCTGAAGGGGGCAACATACTGATCCTCTACTTTGAAAACCGGTTCCATTATTTTTTACACGCATTTGTTGAAAAGCTCTGTCTTGAGACGGGATGGCATGTTCTTGGGCGGTATCGGCAAAATGGCGAGGAGAGAGTGGCCATTCTTGCCCCACCGCTTTGGCAGTGGAATGTTTGCCAGAGTCATCATGACAGGATGAGCCTTCTTCCGCCCATTCTTGCTAAGATGAGTGACGTCGCTGTAAAAAATTAGTGCAGCAAGTACTACGTCGGGCCCGGCGTACTCCTGCACCATGTGAGAGCGAGGAGTATGGGAGCACGGGGAACTAAGCACATGGAACGAAGCAACATGCTAAGAACCAGTGCTGCGGCCTGGCGGGCGGGCATGCGGCCAAGCGAGGAAGGGGAGGTGGGAGGGCAAGGGAGGAACGGGAAGCAGGCGGGCCAGCGCGGAAGAGGAGGGAGACGGGCAATCGAGGAAAGGGAATCAGGCGGGCAAGGGAGGAAGGGGGAATCAGCCGGGCAAGGGAGGAAGGGGAATCAGCCGGGCAAGGGAGGAAGGGGGAATCAGGCGGGCAAGGGAGGAAGGGGGAATCAGCCGGGCAAGGGAGGAAGGGGAATCAGCCGGGCAAGGGTGGAGGGGGGAATCAGCGGGGCAAGGGTGGAAGGGGGAATCAGGCGGGCAAGGGAGGAAGGGGGAATCAGCTGGGCAAGGGAGGAAGGGGGAATCAGCTGGGCAAGGGAGGTGAGAGGCACGCGGGCAACTGATGTGGCCATGGGAGAGTGGGGGACAGCCGCGTACCTGTGCATCATTCCACCACGTCCCTGTCTCACTGTGCTGTACGCCCTCTGTCCCGTGTCACCATCCACTGCCACGGAAGGCGAGTATCGAAAGTCCCGGGCATTGTGTGAGTGGCCGAACATGCCTGCGATTTCCTGAAATTAAACGCCGAGAGCATGGGGATATAGGGCGGTATAAGAGCCCATGCGGTGGGCGAACATGAGGAGAGAAAAGGCACGGGAGCACAGGGGACTTTGTAAAAAAAGTCAAGGGGTAGCACAAACAATACAAATGCGTGCGTGGGAACCCAGACACTGACTGAACCATGCAGCTAGGACGTACCCTCAGGGTGTCTCTATGATAGAGAACTTGGGGAGGGTACCCCTCGATGATGAAGGTGGTTGTGACAAACCCTCTTCTGTTGCCCGTGATGTACTCCAGCTGCAAGCGCTCCAAATCACGGCAGCTCCTGAGGTTCTCCTCGACCAGGACGTGAGCCAACTCGGGGGTGAGCAGCAGCTGTAGCAATCTCCCCTTGTCCATCTTTGTGAGGCCAATCCCGTTGTTCACTGTATCAAGAAACTGGAGAAGCCGCAAAAGAGCCGGGTTCCAGTTCACGCGCGGCCCCACCGCCTCATTGGGCATCAAGTCGGAGTCCTGTAACGCTGGAGCGAGCGGTTCCATGGCATGAATCCATGGCATCGGGGGCATCGGCGGCATCGGCGGCAATGGACGCAGAGTGGCTGTCGGCGACATTAGGCTCGTCGCCGACACCCATGTCCGGAGCATTGCTCAGCTCCTACACGATGTCGCTGCCAGTGGATGCGCCACTATTCCCGGAGTTAGCGAGCAGGGGATCATCGGGGGGAGGATCATTGTGGGTGACGCTGCTAGGTGGACCGTTCACGGCTTGGCCGGCTTGCCTCCGCGGCATGTAGAAAATGACCCCTCCTCTACGGTAAAAAACCGTGGGAGCAGGGGCGCCGTATTGCCCTTCGCAGCAGTCAGGATTGGACACGAGATGCCTACCGAGAATCTGACCGTTGGCACACTTGTGACTACAGATTCGACACCTGACAAACCTAGGGCAATCCATGGCGGCCCGTAGGGCATAATCTGGAAAGTAGATGAAAATAACGACGGTCTTAAACTAGCTACACGCCCATAGTTGTAGTTATCTGCCATAGTTAACGAACGCCAGGCCCGCATGCGGGTACACGAGGACACGTGGCCAGGGGTTGACGCGACGTCAAAAATCCTTACCGGCCACAGCTAGACAATTAGGCAGAGCGCGCTCAATGGGGAGAGCGTGCATCCAGGCACAGCGCGCAGTTAGTCAGAGCGCGCCGTTTGTTTGAGCGAGCCGTTAGTAAGAGCGAGCCGTTAGTAAGAGCGCGCCGTTAGTCGGAGCCTGTCGCCAGACAGCGAAGTCAGGCAGAGCATGCAATCAGGCAGAGCGCGCAGTTCGGCACGGCGCCAAGTTAGGCAGAGAGCGCAGTTTGTCAGAGCACGCAGTTAGGCAGAGCACGTTGTTATGCAGATTGCGCTGCTAGGCTGATTGCGCCGCTAGGCAGATCAGGCATTTTGGCAGATCGTGCTGTTGGGCAGAGCATGCGGTTTGGCAGAGCGCGCTTGTTATAATGCACTACTTGGGCAGTTGGGTACAAGAAACCCTAATATGGCGGTACGTGTGCTGGCAATACGGCAAACGGTGCTTTGCATGGAGTCTCTGATACGTGGGTTGTGTACGCAGTACTGTCAGATTCGTGCCTGCTAGACAAACTAAACCTGTGAGTCCATTAGCTATATTGGGAACAACGGTATTTGACTATCATTGCTATAAACGAAAGCACTACATGCCACCAGTGGTCGTTGCAACGCCTGTTTGGGAACATTGCATGTTGTGCTTTTTTATATTGAAACATAGATCTGTGAGTTCCAGAGCAAGCCACAACGAAGACTACGTTTTTTAAAGGGCATATGGAGTTGGAAATCGGGAATCAGATGCACATGGATGTCTTTACCTCGATCTACGCAGAGGTTGCACGTGTCATTAGGCTTCCACGAGGTATGCTTCTTATCTTTATGTTACATGCTCTGACTTTCATGTTTACACGGTTAATTGGCCACGTAGCGTAGGAGGGAGTCTAAGCTAACACTAAGTTGACATATCCTGGTTTCATCATGTTGCATGAGGTTTATTGTGTTTCAGATGTCTTGTTAGTGTAACGGATATCGATCAGCTTCCAACGCTTGCTTGGAAGTATCGATCAATCACACCCGCACCGAGACTCGACTTGCGCATCCAGTGCTGAGCGCATCCAGCTGTCGTGCTTTCTGCTACGAGAGTTGCAACAACGCGGTAAGGCCCGCTTGGTCGAGTTGGCCTCAGCGGCCAGCAGTACTGATATCTTCACCAAGTCTTTTAGGTCTAGTGACCATCAGCGGTTTCGCACTCAGCTTGGTCTACTGTAGTTCCTGTTGCCTGCTTGCTTGTATACAGAGTTGTTCTATATCGGTCGTTGTATGTGATGTTTTATACCTGTTCCGTTGTAACACTTGCAGATTGGCCTTCAGGCCCTTGTCTCGGTGATCGGTAGTAGTGCTGGCTTTAGCTGTTCTGTCTCATCCTCCAGCTGCTAGACTAGTAGTGCTGCCTTGGATTGTCCTGGATTGTTAGACTCTACCCCTATCCAGGCTAGTGGGTTCGTAAACGTTCGTGTATTTCCTAGGCACATAAACTCTGAAGCTTTGCTAATGGCGGACAACATAGGGTATAAACCTTACTCACAAACTGTTATGCATGTCATCGCAAATACATTCTCCAATCGCAGTAACTTTACGTAAATGGACACTAATCATCAAGGACTGCCTAAAAGGAATCTGATGGCCAGCACGATACACCTGGTTAAAGATTATGTGGTATTGTGACACGTCTCTGCTGGAAAAGGCCATAGTATAACCACGGTTGGGAAATGAGCTGAATACAAGCACGACTAATAAGAACAGCAGAGCTATCCCATGTAATATGTAGGATTGAACTGCAGAAGGGAAGCAATTGGCTGGTTAGTGAACCATGATATAGTGGTTGTAACTTATCATTGTTAAATGTAAAAAGGGGATACATTGTTCATATAGTGAGACAACAGAATGCGTAGGGCCTAACTTAGATGCACTTACTGGGGGTACATTCCATATGAGGTTTCCAGACCCGACTCCGGTAACTGCACACGATACGGGTAACTGCATGCGCGGTATTACAGGGTCAGTTACTACCTGTGTTATGCACCGCCCATGTCCACGTAGGCACGTCGCACGGTTTTCGCAGTGTGCTTCAACGTGTGGTGAAGGGCGGCATGTTTTGGCAGCAGGTAGAAACGGCGGAGATGCGAGAGCGCTCGGGTCCGAAAGGCACAAATGTCGGCGGTCGTAGCGTGAGGCGTCTTTGGAACATGGCTGGTGACATTGTCCACCATCACCACAAAGCAGCGACCATCCGACATGCAGCACGTATTGATGTGCTCGAAGTATGCGGTGAAGAACTCCACGGGGGTTTACAAGGACAGACAGAGAGGCAAAGGTAGTGGTCGACATGAATACGCTAGACATTGAAGATGAGAATGGGCGAAGACGCGTGACTCACATCGGCGATCATCCAGCCTTTCGCATTCGCGTTTAACGCGCAATATCTGGCGCGGTTGAAGTTCTAGCGTGCAAGGTGTTGGAAATTCCTCGAAGACTTAAGCGTTTCTGAAGTGTAACACTACACTTGAAGGAAAGTCGTATCGAGTACGCGAGTCAACGGAGGTTACACGAGAAGGTTGGCCGAAAGAACACGAAAGGACGAAGGGACTTGAAGGATCGCAACGTTAACAACTACAACCGACGTGATAAGCAGAACCGGCACGACACCATAGGACTCACCATCGTGCCGCCGTTCTGCCACAACTGTCAGACATCCAGGCACTCCAAAGTTGACTGCACACGCCCTCGAGTTTATTGTCCATCAGATCCGCAAGTCGCCTCCACTCAAGAGAATCCGCCAAGACGCTCCTCTACACCTGCACAAGGCGCACCGAACATTATTAACTGCATGGTGCATATCGACAACTGCACACCCGGATCGCCGCCCACTTACGCTCCAGACGAAGAAGAACTGACGCCGCCACACTCACAAGGTCTCCAAGTCAACCCGACGTACGCTGCAGTAGCCAACGCCGAACCCACCGGGCGAAACACTTGGTTCTTGGACAGTTGTTGCGGCCAACATATGTGTTCCTCTGGGCGCTTCATGCAACGAGAGCGACACCTCAACCGCGATGTCATCATCACCGTCGCCAACAACGAGAACCTGAAAACAAATAGACAAGGCGTCGTTCAGCTTCAGTCAATGGAAACAAACGTCATACTACAACTCAACAAAGTTCTCATCGTCGACAATTTGGGATACAATCTACTAAGCGTCAGCCAGTTAATGGCGAAGGGAATTCACCTGGAATGCGACTCAGACGACAACGAGTTTCGCCTTTACCACGGAAAGGGCGGCCTCTTCATCGGTCGCGCTCTCCTGAAGTCGGGCGTCTTCGTGCTGGATTTCGTCCCCGACCGCAGTACTGCCGACAGCGATGGCATCGTGTCGTTTGCCGCCTGGATGCACCCGCAGGATCTTGACCCCGACTTTACTCCAGACGGCTTCTGGTACTCCAACACCATACCTGCAGCAGAGAGAACACGAGCATTAGCGGTTATCCGACAAGAACGACAAGTACCAGCAAGCATCCATCCTTCGACATCACCTGCAGTAGCAGCAGCAGGACCCAGCCGTGTGCCATCACCACCAATCCGAGGAACGCCATCCGAGGCAGATCAACTCATGCCCATCACCCGAGGAATCTGCCGCAGTCCCGCCACGGTCGTCGCGTTCTTCTCCAACGCCGACGTGTACCAGCGCTCCCCCGGCCATCGCGCTCCCGACGACATTTGGCATCAACGCCTCGGACACCCTGCAAACAGCACAATACTATAAACCATACATGCCGGAGTATTAGAAAAGGACGCTCTTCTCACAACGAGCGGCCAGGAGCTTCGACGACCCCGCGCACAATGCTTCACGTGTCTCGAAGCTGATCTTCCCCACCAACCTTTCCCGTCGCATTACAATCCAAGCGCACCTACTGTACATACGCACCGATGGAAAAAGTTTACAGCGACATTTTTAATATGCCTCAAGATGACAGTGAAGCAGAGTACAACTATGTCATCACGTTCATCGACGCAGCAACACGATACGTCTGGCACTACAACCTCAAGACACGCGATCAAGCGTTCGAAGCCTTCACGACGTGGCTCCCCATTGCTGAACGAGAATCGGGCTCGCAACTCAAGAGTTTCCAGTCAGACGGGGCACTGGAGTACCAGTCACAACGATTCAGGAACTACATGGCAGAAAGAGGCATCAGATGCCTAGTGTCTCTGCCCTATGCTCACCAGCAGCAGGGGGTCGCAGAGAGGATGAACAGAACCTTGCAGACGAGGATGCGGAAGCTGCTCCTGGGGATGAGACTGGCCAACACGCTTTGGCCTGACGCGATGACGCATGCACTCCACCTGCACAATTTGCTGTCCTCGACGTCACTTCCCAACAACGCATCACCGCACCTGATGTGGACAGGAAAACAGGGCAGCACAAAATTACTTTGAGTCTTCGGCTGCATGGTACAGTACAGACCCCACACAGCCCGAGTAGGACGATTCTGTCAACGAGCACGGTGGGGACTACATCTTGGCATCGCAAAACATTTCCAAGCATGGAAACTTCTCGACATTCAGGACAAAAGCACAGTGGCCTCACGTGATGTGATTTTCTACGAACGACTGACACTGCAGCATTACCTGGACAACATCGCCAACACAGAAGACCCCACCGACGGCTTCGAGGGCCATCGGTCCTTCGCTGACCATGCTGCCGAAGCTGACGCAACAGAAGAAGACGTACCTGAAGCCTCGGAAGCTGCCGGACCACTCCCTTACTGCTCCGTGCCCGTTCCACTCGACGACGACAATCCTCTCGATAGTAACAACATGGACACCTATTACCACTTCGCTGACCAAGGTTATCCTACATCTCAACCGGTCGACACAAATATCTCTGAACGCATCAGTCCGAATTTGTTACCTGACCCTGAAGACGGTGACGAAGCAGCTTATCCCGAGAATGACAATTCCCCTCGACACACACCCACGGGCCTGCAGATACTTAGACTATGGGTCGCCGTCCAGAGCTCGCCGCCGCCGTCACCGCGCGAGCCAATGACTCTGTCGCAGGCTCTTGGGGGGGAACACAAGGCAAAATGGAAGGGGGCAATGGAAAAGGAACTGAAGGCCCTGCAAGACCGAAATACGTGGAAGCTGGTACCTGCAACAAAAACCAACAGGAAGAATGTGCTCTCGGGGAAATTTGTGTACCGCATCAAGACTAATGCGGATGGCTCCATCGACCGCTTCAAGGCTCGCTGGGTCGTACGAGGATTCGACCAGCGATACGCAACCGACTACACGAAGACATTCGCCCAAGTCTCCCGACATACTTTCCTGCGCATTCTGCTCGCCGTCGCGGTCACGAAAAAGCTACCACTGCGCCAAATCGATGCCGCCAACGCCTTCCTGTATGCATCTGTGGACGCTGAAATCTTCGTCAAGCAGCCCCACGGATTCATCAACAATCCCACAAAAGTGTGCTGGTTGGTAAAATCCCTCTACGCAATCAAACAAGCCCCGCGGCTCTCGCAGCAGCACCTTCACGGCCGCCTCGTCAGGATCGGATTTCTGCAGTTGCCGCACGATCAAGGGATGTACCGACTACAGAAGGGGGGGGCTTTTGTCCTACTCATCATTGACTTTGATGACCTACTCTACGTCGGCTCCACTACCGACGTTGCCACCTTTTTCGAAGGGGAGCTAAGGAGTGACTTAACACTCATGGTGTCAGACACCGTGAGCCAGTACCTACGTCTAAACATCGTCGAAGACGACTCGGCGTTCTACCTACACGCTGGAAAATACGCAGGCGTTGTCGCGAAGAAATTCGGCCTAACGCAGTCGCAGTCGTGACTCCCTATCGCTACGGGAACAACAGCGACACCTCCGTAAAGCTCCCCGCAAAGCAAATCTAGGAATATCAACAGAAACTCGGCTGTCTACTGTTCGCAGCAGTAACCTGCCGACCGGATCTATCCTACAGCGCGAGCCAACTGGCGACACACCTGAAGCAGCCGGAGCAAGAGGAGCTCAAGGAGCTAAATCGAGCACTGCTCTACTTTGTCTCTACGCCGACGACCGGACTTACCTACAGCAAAGTAACGCCATCGACCGTACAGCTACTCGGCTATGTCGACGCTGACCACTCGAGAGAAAGGGAGAAACGTCGCTCCAGAATGGGCTACATCTACCGACTAGAGCCTATCGGGACTATCTCCTGGCAATCGAGCAAACAGGAACTAATCGCGCTATCCTTGGCTGAAGCGGAACACATCGCTCTCTGCTTTGCGACCAAAGAAGGACTTTACCTACGGGAGCTACTGGAGGAAGCGAAAATTGCAACCATGCCCGCCTTCTCCCTATTTTGCGACAACCAATCCGCGATCAAAATCGCGAACAAAAATGGGTTCGCCAATCGAACCAAGCACATCGCTCTACAGTATTTCTTCATCAAGGATGAGATCGCGAAGGCGAGACTTCAACTCAGTTACTGTCCCAGGACAGAAATGGCTGCAGATTACCTGATGAAGAAACTGACAAAGGCAAAGTTCGATTACTGCATGCTGCTGACCGGGCAGAGAAATGTCACCGAATCCGGACACGT